CGCCAGGGTGCTTACCCTGGCCAGCCGCGTGCCAGAGGTTGCCGACCCCTGGAATAGATAGGATGGTGATGAACACCATAGCAAATTCCTAGGATTCCTTCATTTGTTCATATCTTTGCTGACGTTATCTTTTCTCAGTAGCCACTTAAAGCAAGGAGTTACTGTAAATCACTCCATTAGTAAAGGCTTGAAAGAATTCAGGTGAACTTGGGGTGATTATTTCTCAAACAATTAAGTGTGATAAGACAGGAATACATTTGTAGTTATTTTCATTTATATTTTGGCCATACTGACCTGTAAGAGATAAGACCTGTAAGAGATTTTATAGTGTGATAATAATGTAACATGAGTTTTTCTGATGCAATTGCTCTTAAACTCCGTAGTTACATTTTGTAAAGTGTTTCGACATTGATTTCAGTAATGATGCAACATTAGCAGTTAATTACTGAACAAGTTACACTGAACAGAATGATGCAATGCCTGTTAATAGATCCCTGAGACTGCGCTTGTTTTTTGAAATGGACATTACTTAAGGTGTCAGAGAGAGACTTAAAAATGCCCCACCACATACAGTTTGCAGATTTACGTCTGCAGTTCTGAAAAAAGTATGTTTAGTTAGGATGTTAGTGGTCTTTCACTAAATCTAATCATATGGGCTATGCCAGGTAGAAGCTCATATTCTGCCACTCAGTTTTATTTTTTAATTATAAAATGAAATGTTTTTGAATAGTGTAAGAGTCACTGGTATTAAACTGAGCTATTGAGAAAATTATTTTTTCTCTTTAACTGTCACACGTCAGCTCTCCTGGGATGATGCAGTATTTATCTGTTCTATTACTTACAGAACAGCAAATGAATTCTGTGGGTTGTATAAATTATTAACTAATGCACAGGCTGTATTGTAAAATTTTAAATACAGCATTAACAAGGATTTCACAATCTCCCCCCCCCCCCCCCCCCAAAAAAAAAAAGTGGAGGCGAGGGGGATTTTATATGAAGTTTTATTGGGACTATTAGCAGTCTAGCAAAGGAAATAATTGTTGTTGTTGTTGTTGTTGTCTTTTTTTTCTTTTTTTTCAAAATTGCCAACAAGAATTTCCCCCCATAGGGATAATTGCAACCTTGGCACACAAGCTCAGAATCTTCTAGAGAAGTTTCTGCTTGGGACTATTCAAATTTCCTCTCTTCTCACTTACCTGGGGTTTAGAGCATAAAAATAGGGACAAGGACCTAAACTACTTTTCCGTACTTTCCAGTAGTCTATGAATACTGGTAATCTCCAAACTAGAATCACTTACAAAACCCCTATTCCCGAGTTGCTATGCCCACGTTTATCTGCCTTTTTCAGAAATAATTACACCATATGTCAGATGGCTTGCATATAGTGTCAGGATTACTGTTTAATACTTCTTACTAAGAGTTGGTATAATTGGTAAATTCCATCGCACTGTAGCACTGGTCACTATATGCTATTCTTAAATACAGAGTTCTAGCATTTTCAAATTTAGACTTGTGGAATGGGTGGTCAGAATTGTACAATTTAGATAAGCTTATATATTTTCTTTAAATTTTCAAAAAAAAATGAATGTTTCTTCACCTTTCCCTTTTCCCCCAGGCCTCTTATCCGGCCACTTCCTAGCCAGCAAATGTTTGAACATGTGCACAAGAGGCATCGTGTACTTTTTTTGTATGTTGGTGGGGAATCTCCTTTAAAGGTTTGAAACTTCATTAAATTCATTTTTTTTATCTTTATCTTTATAGAGGTAGTCTAAAGTGACTTGTACATATTTCTTCTAAAAAAGCAAAAAAGTAATTGTATATTTTAAAGAGATTGTAATTGTAAGTAAGAAGCTGAATATGTTCTAATTTTAGAACTACTTTGATAATGGCATAATATACACACTTTTTTTATCTTAATGTATGTATTTATGGACGTTTACCAAACATGCTGGTAATCTCTGGGGTCTGAGTGCTCTCTCTCATCTTGTAATCATTATGTAGTGGGACTCTGCAGTCCTAATAATGTAAAACATTATTTTAAAATCATACTTAATCCATGCATTCAAAATAGTTAAACTTAAGTTATTTAATGTAGCATTTACTGTGGGGCACAGTTATACTGAAGGGAGAATTTTTTTGTTAATTGGATAGGTTTTATGGTTTTTTTTTATTTTATTTTTTTTTAAATACTGAAGCTCTGTGCTACATCTTAATAAGTTTCACTTTAGTTAGGTGGAAAGAAACTGTGTGTTTGGTCTTCATTTTAACAAAATCCTCAGAAAATTTCTAAAACTCTTACTGTTGTTGACTGTATCACTTCCATTATGCTAACATAATGTGCATGTGTACCTTTATGGTGTGTGTCCTTTTTGCTCTAATACTTAGTAGTAGGGCCGTCAAGTTATTAAAAAAAATAAATTGCGCGATTAAAAAAAATTAATCGTGCAATTAAATGCACTGTTAAACAGTAATAGAATACCATTTATTTAAATATTTTTGGATGTTTTCTGTATTTTCAAATATATTGATTTCAATTTCATCACAGAATACAAAGTGTACAATGCTCACTTTATATTTATTTTTTATTACAAATATTTGCACGGTAAAAGACAAAAGAAATAGTATATTTCAATTCACCTAATACAAGTACTGAAGTGCAATCTCTTTATCATGAAAGTTGCACTTACCATCATAGAATTATATACAAAAAATAACTGCATTCAAAAATAAAACAATGTAAAACTTTAGAGCCTACAAGTCCACTCAGTCCTATTTCTTGTTCAGCCAATTGCTCAGACAAACAAGTTATTTTACATTTGCAGGAGATAATGCTGCCTGCTTCTTGTTCACAATGTCACCTGAAAATGAGAACAGGTGTTCTCATGGCACTGTTGTAGCCGGCATTGCAAGATAATTACGTGCCAGATGCCCTAAAGATTCATATGTCTCTTCATGCTTCAACCACCATTCCAGAAAACATGCGTCAATGCTGATGACGGGTTCATCTCGATAACGATCCAAAGCAGAACGGACCGACGCATGTTCATTTTCATCATGTGAGTCAGATGCCACCAGCAGAAGGTTGATTTTCTTTTTTGGTGATTCAAGTTCTGTAGTTTCTGCATCGGAGTGTTGCTCTTTGAAGACATCTGAAAGCATGCTCCACACCTCATCCCTCTCAGATTTTGGAAAGCACTTCAGATTCTTAAACCTTGGGTCGAGTGCCGTATCTATCCTTAGACATCTCACATTGTTACCTTCTTTGTGTTTTGTCAAATCTGCTGTGAAAGTGTTCTTAAAACAAACATGTGCTGGGTCATCATCCGACGCTGCTATGGCAGAATGTGGGTAAAACAGAACAGGAGACATACAATTCTCCCCCCAAGGAGTTCAGTCACAAATTTAATTAACGTATTATTTTTTTAATGAGCATCATCAGCATTGAAGCATGTCCTCTGGAATGGTGGCCGAAGCATGAAGGGGCATATGAATGTGTTTAGCATATCTGGCACGTAAATATCTTGCAACGCCAGCTACAAAAGTGCCGTGCGAATGCCTATTCTCATTTTCAGGTGACGTAAAATAAGAAGCAGTCAGCAGTATCTCCCGTAAATGTAAACAAACTTGTTTGTCTTAACGATTGGCTGAACAAGAAGTAGGACTGAGTGGACTTGTAGGCTCTAAAGTTTTACACTGTTTTCTTTTTGAGTGCAGTTATGTAACAAAAAAATCTACATTTGTAAGTTACACATTCACAATAAAGAGATTGCACTACAGTACTTTTATGAAGTGAATTGAAAAATCCTATTTTTTATCATTTTTACAGTGCAAATATTTGTAATAAAAATAATATAAAATGAGCAGGGCACACTTTGTATTCTGTGTTGTAATAGAAATCAATATATTTGAAAATGTAGAAAAACATCCAAAATATTTATTAAATTTCAATTGGTATTCTGTTTAACAGTGCGATTAATCACAATAAATTTTTTTAATCACGGTTAATTTTTTTTTCAGTTAATTGCGTGAATTAACTGCAATTAATCGACAGCCCTACTTATTAGTAGACATTTGTGGTTTAAGATCTACGTACTGCCAAAATAAAATTGAATTTGGTGTTTTAAAATAAAATGAACATAATACAGAAAAATTCACACTGTCTTTGTCTAAGACTATTCCTGTAATACAAGTCCAAATAAGCCAGTTAGATATGCTGAGGTCTGTCAAGTTTTTTTCCTTTGTTTGAATGGAACAATGCGGGCACCGAATCACGGTACGGAAAAGTATTACTCGTCTAGTTTATGTTCTGTCCCCACTGGGGAGGTAATTTATAAAAGGGATGCCCCTAACAAAACTACATCATTTTACACTGGCATGTTTAGACATGCAATTCAGATGGGCCCCAGGTAAGCTTTCTGTTCTAATTTTTTTACATTGTCTTTTTATAGTTTACTTTTAAAAAGTAGACGGAAAATGTTTGTGTTTTGATATACTTTTTTTCTGTTAATGTGTGTACCAAGATTTAAGAAATTTTTAAAAATGTCTTTGTTTCTATTTTTGCAGGAGAAATACATAGAAGTTGCTTCAGAACTAATTGTCTATACATACTTTTTTTCTGCCTCAGAAGAGGTGCTACCTGAGGTAAATTAACTTTATCAGATACTTCAACTCTACTTCCTCTTCTTATTTAAATTGTATTTAGCACAACCATAGCCTTTTAATTCTTGCAGTTTCTGACATCAAACACTACAGGAAACTGGTCAGTAATAATAATCACTCTAATGAATAACTATTTCTACATAAAGAATCTAATAGAGAAAACATGGATTTGGAATTGAGTTACAGTTACAAAATACTCTGTTACCTTCTATTTACGTGTTAGCATATTGATCACCAGCAATATTAAAACCTCTTGTCTTTAAAAGAGGGAAAAAATCCTATAAAGTTATTCATTTATAATAGCTTGAAATTCAGTTGAAAAATTTCAATAACTTTTTTTGTTATTTCAATATTTGTTAGGTTGATTAGGCAGTCCTGTTTTGCATTGACCACATGATTTTTTCAGAGAGGGCATTGACGTGCAATAGGAACTTAAATAGAATAAGTAGGATTGCAGGACACAGTTTGTTATAATCCTAGTTTCAAGATCATCTAATTTATCAAAACTGATTTTGGACCCAAAACTGAACTTTTCCAGACTTTTCCAAGAAACAGGTGCAAAAGCCCAATTCTCATACCCAGTTGTCCCTCATTAACTGAGCTGTCTTAGTCCCAGTGACAAACCCCAGAATCTTCAAGGAAGCCAAAATGTGCTAATCAGATTTCCCAAGGTGGAGTTGAGACATGGGAAGTCTCATGCATTTGTAGCTGGGAAAGGACAGTTTTATGCCCTTGATACTAGGGAATGGGATTTGAATGTTATACTACTTTACTAGCATAGAGAAGTGTATAAAAAACATATCTGTTTAATGGTGTGGTTTTGTCAAGGGGTTATGTCTGCAATGCTAAATGACTTGAGATTCATGACTTGAAATATCCTGTAACTTTAATAAATGCATTATTTTTCATAAAACAGCTATTTAAAGCCTACTGAGCCTATTGCATCTTGTTTTTACAATTATTGTAGCTAGAAAAAACACATTACATCACTATTTTCCTAACGTTATAAGGGAGGCGTCCTCTAGAGGCTAGAGTCCGGAGACTGTGTATATATTATCGGTTCTTCCACTGACTCGCTGTAACAACTTTGATAAGTCATTTGTCCAAGATTTTCAAAAAATGTTCTTTAAAGTTAGGTTTCTAAATCTATATATATTTACCTATTGCTTGAATTTTGGAGGTGCTGAGCATCTGCAGTTTTTATCAGCCTCAGTAGAATTTATTGGTGGATGGCACTTCCGAAAATTAGGTTTAGTTAAGAGCCTAACCTTCTTTTGCTGTAGTTGTACGTACTTCACAGTATAGTCACAAGTGCTTCGAGGTTTAACATTTGCAAAGCCAAGCCCTATGAGATATTTTGATCACGAGTATACTGCAGAAGAGTTAAGTAGCTATAGTATTTTTAAAATATCCTACAGGAAAATAAGCAAATTGTAAAACAAGTCAGTGTAAATTTTATGTAATTCTCACTTAAAGTGCTCACACAAACTTTAACCCTGCCCACTGGCACTAATTCATTATTGTACGTTATTTTATTTCACAACTCCCACCTCTGCTCTAGAGCAGGGTAGTGAAGGTAGAGTTAAAGCTGGTCGCTCTGATTTATGAGTCTGATGTAATTTATGCCAGAGACCAAACCAGCCCCCAGACAGCCTTAGTCACCTCTACCCTTTGTGGAGCTTCCTGGGGGGCAGAGAATGGAGCCAAGAAGTGTAAAACAAACCAAAAAAGAATCAGGTTTCTAACATTCTCAGATATGATAGAAGAATATCATCATTTTTATTCTGAAAATGTTTCTTGTTTTAAAATTGCCACCCGTGTGTGGGGGAGATAGAGATTTAAAATACTTGTCTTGTTAAAAATCCACAACTTTAGTTGTCAAGAAACTAACCTCGTCCTCCTAAAACATTTTTTTAATGTGATATACAAAAGCCTTTTGTTTTCTCTTCACTGAATGCATCAGCTTTTGGGTAAGAAATATAGTTCCTAGTGCTGGAGAAACTACTAATATAAATTAGGAGATTGGAAATCTAAACAAAAATGTAATATCCACATAAAATTAGTGTTTTTTTTTTAAAGTTGGAATTGAAAAAAGATAAAATCGTTAAAAGAGGAAGTGAGGGAGTATGATTCTAAGCTTCTGTGTTAGAAACAAAGCTGAGAGAATATTTAAGTGTCCTGTTTAATTATTTGAGGTTTTTTTTACTTCAGACTGGTGAGTTTAAGGTTTGTGCAGTTAAAATGCTTGTCTTAATCATCTATGGGATGATTAAAAGTCATCTCTCACTCTTTTAGTATGTGACACTTCCTGAATTGCCTGCTGTTGTGGTCTTCAAAGATGGAACTTACTTTGTATATGATGGTAAGTACAAGTGTGCACTGTTCACCTACAGGCAAAATACTCAAAGTATATTTGAGGGAAATCAAAACACAGGCATTCTTTTTGAAAGAAAATTTTTAAAAAGATTGACCAGGTTTATATTGGATAATCTTTTCTTTTGTGAAGGAGAGAAAGGGAGAATTGCTGTTGTTAGATCTCTCTCTGTATTTTTTTATGGAACAGGAGTGAGAATTTTGTTTAGCTGCAATAAATGAAGTAAAGATGGAAGCAACTGAAATTTGGCTTTGCATTTTTTGCTTGAATGTACTCTTGCATGTTACAGGTAGATTACTGGCATGCCAAATGAGTCCAATGATTCCGGTTACTCACTACCCAAGATTAATAGTAGAGCTGAAGGGTTGAATGATGGAAAGCAGCCAAAAGCTAAAAGACTCCTCTCCACATGGTGGTAGGCCCTATTATAGGGCCTGAGTACCATATTGAATATTTTATACTATTGCTCATTCCTCCATGCCCAAATTTATTCTTTTCATTTACATAATATTGAGGTGTACTTATCCTGAGGTTAACCTATTAATACATATCAATACCACTTTAACTTGTTATCATACCCATCACTTCTTGCTTAAGCTGGTTTACGGTTATTGTTTCTATGTTTCTGCAGGTATTTACTGTTAAGCTCCAACTTTTACCATTGAGTAAGCCAGTCTGAGTTCCCCAAACTCTGAGGATAACTGTTAGATCATCTATCTATGCCAAAGGTTACAGCAGGGGTAGGCAACCTTTCAGAAGTGGTGTGCCGAGTTTTCATTTATTCACTTTAATTTAAGGTTTCACGTGCCGGTAATACATGTTAACGTTTTTTAGAAGGTCTCTCTCTATAAGTCTGGGGTGTGTGTGGAGGTGCAGGGCAGAAGGCTGGGTGTGTGGGGGGGTTCAGGGCAGAGGGCTGGGGTGTGTGTGGAGGTGCAGGGCAGAAGGCTGGGTGTTGGGGGAAGGTCAGGGCAGAGGGCTAGGAGGGTGGGGGTGCAGGGCAGAAAGCTGGGTGTTGGGGGTGACTCAAGGTCAGGGCAGAGGGCTGGGGGTGGTGTGGAGGTGCAGGGCAGAAGGCTGGGGTGCTCGGCTCGTGGGGGTGCTCCCAGCCCCCTTCCCTGAGCGGCTCATGGCAGGGGACTGGGAGGGATATGCCCTGTTCCACCCCCTTCCCCAAGGCCCGTCCCTACCTCTCTCTGCCTCCTCTACGGAGCAGGGAGCACGCTCGGCTCTGCTCTGCTCCGCTCCCCCTCCCTCTCACAAGAGCCATTGCTGGCAGGGAGAGGGAAAGGGAGGAGGAGGGGCCGGAATGCACCATGCTGGGGGAAGAAGTGGGGGAAGGGGGAAGCTTGGCTGCCACAGGACCAAGCTTCTGCTTCCTGTCCCCGCAGGGGAGAGCGGTGGGCGGGGGGGGCTGTGTGGGGCGGGGGGGCGTGACTCCCCCCCCCC